CCTGGGCTTCCCTGGTAGCTCAGCTGGTAAAGAATCTGCCCGCATTGCGGGAAACCTGGGTTTGATCCCTGGATTGGTAAGATCCCCTGGAGAAGGGAACGGCTACCCACTCCAGTGTTCTGGCCTGGAGAATTCCATGGACTGTAGTCTGTGGGGTCGCAGAGTCTGACACGACTGAGCAACTTTCACTGATCCTACATCGTGGTAGCTCACAGTAAAGAACCTGCCTGCAACGCAGGAGACCAGGCTTCGATCCCTGGGTTGGAAAGTTCCTCTGGAGAAGGGAATGGCAATCCACTCCAGTATTCTTGCCTGGAGAATCCCATGGACAAAAGCCTGACAAGCTACAGTCCGTGAGGTCGCAGTCGGACACGACTGGGCAGCTAACACACGTATTGCAGGTGGCACAGTAAATGCTACTGCTTTAGGAGTCCTGCAGGTCCTCCGTTCACTAAATTCAATCCCTGGGTCGGAAGACCCCCTGGAGGAAACCCATTTCAGTATTCTCGCTGGGATAATCCAATGACAGAGGAGCCTGGCAGGCTAGTCCCTGAGGTTGTATAGAGGACGACACCAATGCAGCTAACACCTCAGCCAGAACAAAAACCCTGAAAAAAAACATGCTAAGTCAAAGCATTGTGATTTAGATGAAAAGTCCAGACAGGCAAATTAACATAAGTATAAGCTCAGGGCCAGATTGGGTTAGGAGGTGACAGTCAACCACTGCTAAGGTTCCTCTTTGGGATATTGAAAAGCTTCTAAAACCCCACTTATGGATGCATAACTGAATACAGTAAATGCTACTTCAGTAGCAGACTTAGCGTGCTTTAAGTTAAAAAAAGTAGATGGAAAAGAGTCAAATTTTCCCATGTTCTCAATTCCGTTTTATACGAAGTATCAAAAGATGCAAAACAGCCTGTTAAAACTCATTTGATCCATTTTGTGGTTAACACTTGAAATACATTTACTAATTAAGACAACCAACACTTTTACTTTTATTTGCATTTATTTTTTGCGGCATTTATTCCCGGGCCATAAGTTTTTGTTTTTTCAGTTTCTTCTGGGATATCTGGGGAAAAGAAAAAATAAAAGCACTATTAGAAGAATGATTCCAAGAGAAACACACATCTTAAAGAGGAAGTTTTATCTCAATGAAGGTAATTGAAATTTCATCATAAAGGGAATGAGTCCTTTGCCACAGAGAAGTGGCATGGAGAGAAAGGCAGCCAGGAGGAAATTAGAGCTTTAAGAAGAGAACGAAGACTATAGGCCGGCAGCCCAGCTGGAAAGAACCAAGTGGCAAAAAAGGATGAAGGATGATATGAGAAAATCAACAGAAGACAGATCCATTAGGATTTGAGTCACCCCCAGGTTCCAGGCTAAAGAACTAAACATAATCATTTATATTTCTTGGAGAAAGGGGCTGCAGGGAGGAGATGCCCTGTTCCAGATAAATTACATCTGAAGTGGTCATGGCCATCTAGGTGTGGACATCAGCATATAATCACACAGTTTTAACACACTGAACAATACAAAATTCCCACTCGCTGTTAAGAAACTAATGAGGATAAGAAAGCTGTGGTACATATACACAATGGAATATTACTCAGCTATTATATTCGAGACAGCAAAAGAGACACAGATGTAAAGAACAGACTTTTGGACTCTGGGAGAAGGCGAGGGTGGGATGATTTGAGAGAATAGCACTGAAACACATATATTATCATATGTGAAATAGATCGCCAGTGCAGGTTCAATGCATGAGACAGGGCGCTCAGGACTGGTGCACTGGGATGACCTCGAGGGATGGGATGGGGAGGGAGGGTCAGGATGGGGAATACATGTACACCCATGGCTGATTCATGTGAATGTATGGCAAAAAACCACAACAATGTAAAGTAATTAGCCTCCAATTAAAATAAAGTAAAAATCTTCCAAGATTAAAAAAAAAAAACTAATGAGACTTATGAAAGCCAAAATAAAATGATTATAAGAGGTTGGTGGTTGCTCAGAATAGCTTCCTTTCATGGTTATTCCAAAGGTGTCCTAAGTTAGTAATCACAGCAACCGCAATCTAATACACCAAGTGAAACAGAGCAGAGACCAAGTAATTTACCTTTTTCTTCTGTGCAACCTCCTCTTCTGGTTTAGGAACAATCTGTTCTTTTTCAGTAAGGATCATCTCAATGTGGCAGGGAGAGCTCATGTAGGGGTTGATCCGACCGTGAGCTCTGTAAGTCCTGCGCCGCATCTTGGGGGCTTTGTTCACTTGGATGTGCTCAATGACTAGAGAATCTACATCTAAGCCCTGGGAAAAGGGAGCAAAATCATGTAACATTTAAAAAAAATTTTAAATCAGGTAACACCTTTATCTTAACACCACAAACTGTATCACTCAAATCCTTATGACTTTAAATAGCATATTTTTTTTAAAAAATTTCATTCTAAGTTCCCTCCCTTAAAATCTAAGTAATTACCAAAATTCAGTGCTGGTAATTGCCCCTACTTTATAAGTGGTATTCATTAGGGAGCAGAGTTACAAGAATATCAAAGGATCTATGTCTAAGCTTGATTTTGACAGCAAGGCTTAGCAGCTAGAAGGGCTACAGCTAAACAGACCTCCATTAATTCCAGTTCTAACCCAGTTTTCCAAATGCAAAAAGGTAAAGGATAACTGCTCAAATGGATAAATTTGTTTAGTTGGCACAGGATTTGTTCAGTTACACACTGCTGTTTTGACCTCTGAAATTTAACATCTCTCCATTATGAATGTAGAAAACAAACCACAGGCCAATCATATGATTCCTTTCTAACTGTATTTATTTGTATTTAAATATACCCTGTGAAGGGGTTCACAAACCTCAATATGAAAAAGGCTTCCCTGGTGGCTCAGATGGTAAAGAATCTGCCTGCAATGCAGGAAACCTGGTTTAATCCCACTCCAGTATTCTTGCATGGAGAATTCCATGGACAGATGATCCTAGCAGGCTACAGTCCACGGGGCCGCAGAGTTAGACACTACTGAGCACTAACATTTACAGCACAAGATTACAAACCCTTGGTAAAATACTCAAGAAAAAAAAAAAAAGCATTTCTCTTGCATGTACTGGCATTATGTCTGTGTGTGTGGGGGGGGGGAGAGTAATTCTAGAGTCTTAGGCTTGAAATTACTGCAGACCACGCTCCTGAAACACTTTATAAACAAAAATTTTTTCCTGTTGGAAATTGAAAGTAGAGATTTAAAAGAACCTCTTTAATGGGAACTCTTGCTACTTTCATCAAGTCAATCAAAGAAAAAGCAAGTCAACCAAGGAAATAGATCCAGAGAACAACTGTAACCGAGTTAACAATCCAAGTTGCATGTATAAAGATGCTTATAGTGTGGGTACCTTAAGTTCAGCATTACTTTCTGCATTTTTGAGCATATGTAGTAAAAATTCAGCACTCTTTTTGGGCCACCGACCCTGCGTCCAGCCCCACTGTTTGGCCTAAAAAACAAAACCAGAGTTTATTAGTAATTTGCCTCAATTTAAATCAATGTTACAAGATGAAATTTACTTCAAGCTACATCAAGGTTGTTCAGAACATTTTTTTTTTTAATGGTTAATCCAAAGGTGTCCCAAAGATTATCACAGCAACCATAAGGAGCCTCAGTAAAGGAAGACATTGGCCATTTTTACTTCTACTCCCTTCCCTAACAAATTGCCTTTTAAATGACAACTGTGAATTCTTACCTGTGCACACCTACCAACTCCACCATTGTAACGACGGAATGGCACACATTGCTTCTTTAAAGTGACATCCTTCAGATACTTGGTGGCTTTTCGGATATGCATACCCTTTATGGCCTGGGCAGTCTCACGAGTATTCTAAACATAATAACGTAAGCTGTCAGATTTAAATAAATTCCAGTATTTTCAACGTGTCAACCTTTATCAAGAGCCAAATCCCTTCCATTCTTGAAACATATACAAATCTGTTATGAACCAGGGAGACTTGGTTTGAAGGTAGAGGAACGTGAATCCTAAACATGTTTATTCACTGTTAATATTTCTCCATTATCTTGTAAACTACAATTACGTTTCCCATAACTTGATCTGTGCACTAAGTTCTCAAGCAGTTCTCTGGTAATTTTACCCAATTCCACAAATCCTAAATCAAAGTGTTCATTAAAAGGTGGCTGCTCAGAAATGATTTATTTTCATGGTGAATCCAAAGGTGTCCTAAGAAACACATCATCGCAGCTACATTTTTAGAATGGTTAAAAAATACTCAAGGAACAACTCTTTCAGGACATAACTACGATTCACCTACCTTAAAGTGAACACGAAGATTTGAACCTCTTGATTTGCATGCTAAAAAATACCGGAAAAAAAAAAAAAAAGGTTAATCTTGGTATCTGGGTGCCTCATACTCCAAAATAAGAAATGTTGCTTGCTCACTTACACTTTGTGGGGTTTTCTGGGTCGAGTGAATAGCGCACCATTTTCAAGGGTCAGCTGGAAGCAAGAATAACTGTCAACATATATTTACAGCAACTCACAGTTTAATATTTATGTACTATAAACTCTGTCCACAGCTGCTCAGAGAGTAGTTGTTTTCATGATTAATCCAAAGGTGTCCTAAGAAATGCATCATCGCAGCCATCCTCTCAATCCAGTTTCATCTCATCTACAACTACCAGTTGCCTACAGCAGCGTTGACACTGCTAAGACTAGTGACACGGATGCCCTTCCCTTAACCCTCTGGAAGAAAACACAGCCTGTTTCCATCCAAATCTGGATCCAAGTATCCGTGCCGAGGAGCCCAGCGTCCTGCTCAGCATCAGATCCTTCAGGTCAAAGTTAACTCGACCCAACGACATGCTCCCTCTACAGAAACCTACTTTACTCACAGATTCACAAAAAAGCCAAGCTTTCCACACACTTTAGGGTATTACTCGCTTTAAGCGCAGCTCAACTCACGTTCAGCCACTGAGTAAACCTCGACCCGATTTGACCTCATTCCCCTCCCCCAAAACTTTCTTTCCATTCGGCCCCAAATGCGCTGCGTTCGCGGCCCCCACTCACCGCGAGACACTGGCCCTCAGGAGTCGGCACCGACCACAGCCGGCTTCTAACCTCGTCACCCCCATTCTCGCCCACTGAGCCCCTTTGCGGCCTGTAGAGGCCCCGCAGCAGAGGGGCGCCGAGCCGGGGCCTCCGACAAATCCCCGCGCACAGGACTGCTCCACCAGGGAGGATTAGAGTCCTCCTCCTGAGGGTCTCGAAATCGGCGCCGAGAAAGCCAGGATGGCAGGGATTACCAGAAGATTCATCACTAGACAAAGATGCATAAGAAACACACTCACCTCAGGCCGCTTACCGGAAAAGGAAGAGCGGTGGCTCATGGGAGAATTCATGAGAGCTCGACATCTCGCGAGAGTCCCAGCCTAAAGAAACGAGATTTGTAGAGGTGGGGGAAGGCGGAGGAGAAAGGGAATGTGGAATATGTTTGAGAAGATCTGAAAACGAATTAGAGGCTTAGGGACCGTGTCAAAATTATCCTTTTTTGTGTACAGAAATAAAGTTATGTATTTTAAATATCTGTCAATTAAAAACAGGTTTGTACAGAAACAGAGTCACAGACTTAGAGGATGAACTTATAGTTACCAGGGGGGACGTGTAGTTGGGGAGGGATAGTTAGGGAGCTTGGGATTGACATGTACACATTGCTCTATTTAAAATGTATAACCAGGAAGGACCTACTGTATAGCACAGGGAACTCTGCTCAGTATTATGTAACAACCTAAATGGGAAAGAAATTTGAAAAAAAAAATACATATGTAGAAGTATAACTGAATCATTTTGCTGTACACCTGAAATTAATGTAATATACTTAACCAAAGATAAGTGAAGTCGCTCAGTTGTGTCCGACTCTTTGCGACCCTATGGACTGTAGCCTACCAGGCTCCTCCACCCATGGGATTTTCCAGGCAATTACACTGGAATGGGTTGCCATTTCCTTCTCCAGGAGATCTTCCCAACCCAGGGATTGAACCTGGGTCTCCTGCATTGTAGGCAGACTCTTTACCGTCTGTACCACCAGGGAAGTGGAATGAGGGAATCAAGGATACTCCACTTAAAAGCAAAGCAAAACAAGTTTGTAGTTCTAGGACAATACTACATATTATTTAGGTATAGATGAGACATTTTTTCACCAAGATTCATTAGATTTGGTTATATGATTATATGAAAATGATTTGTAAAGGGACAATTCGCTGTTGTTGTTGTTGTTTAGTCACTAAATCATATCTGACTCTTTGCGACACCATGGAATGTAGCCCACCAGGCTCCTCTGTTCATGGGATTTCCCAGTCTAGAATACTGGAGTGGGTTGCCATCCCCTTCTCCAGCAGATCTTTGTGACCCAGTGATTAAACCCTCATCACCTGCATTGGCAGACAGTTCTTTACCACTGACCATCAGGGAAGCCCAAAAGGAAAAATTAGGGAGATCCAAAGGATGGGATGTAATTATGTTAATCATAAATTCTCAGTTTGAGAATATTACACAATCAATGTGATAAAGCAGCGCATGTAAAGGATGTACTAACTGAAGGGTCTGGTTCAAGATTGAGATCTGGTTTCCCCACTGCAACTTGTAGATCTTCATATGGCAAAAGATAACTGTTCCTTGAAAATAAAAATGCCAAGGTACATTTTCTTTCCCAGGTCATCTTACTGGTTATTCCCTTAGAGTCACTGGTGGTGTTAGCACTTAACTTTGGGTCTTCCTTTTATAGCCTCAGTGACTTTTCTGTAAAATTTAAGTGAACTCTTTAAATTGTATTTAATATACATAGTTTCCTCCAATCTGTTTAGTTGCGGTTTGAACTTCTATCTGAAATTTAACATGTTTCTCCACTATGAATATAGACAACAAACCACACGGCAATCATATTGGTCCTTTATAACAGTATTTTATTATTTGTATTTAAAAAATACAGGAGTTCCCTGGTGGCTCAGAAGGTGAAGAATCTGCTGGAATGTGGGAGACCTGGGTTCAATCCCTGGGTTGGGAAGATCCCCTGGAAGGGGACATAGCAACCCACTCCAGTGTTCTTGCATGGAGAATCCCCATGGACAGAGGAGCTTGGTGGTCTACAGTCCATGGGGTCACAAAGAGTCGGACACGACTGAGTGACTAAGCACACACACACACACACACACGCACAAATATCCTGTGAAGGGGCTCACAAACCATAGTATAAAAAAGGTCCATGGCACAAGTTTACAAACCCTTGGGAAAATACTCAAGGGGAAAAAGGCCTTTTTTTGCATGTACTGGGGAAAGTATATTTTAATTTTACTATATTTATTATTAAGAAATGTTAATTATTAAAGCAATTGTGTACTGCAAATAGGGGTCATCCTTGGCAATCAGTTGACCTGTTCATTTAGCCATTAAATGAATATTCATCAAACACTTATATGCCTGCTGTTATGCTGGATGTTATGCTCTAACAGATACTAGGAGAGTCTCGGCTGCCAGGGAACCCACAGTTTTAGAATGAGGGTAGGGACAGAGAGATAGGTAACTAGGAGGTGAACAGCCACTTAGAATACAGTGTGAAACTGCTAAAGTAGGGTGAACATGTAGAGTAGGAAAGCCTCCCCTGAGCGGACGACATGGCAACTGCACCATGAATGACCAGAAGGAGCTAGCTGGTCATGGCAATACAGTAAGAGAGAAACAATTATTATTGCCAGCAAGAAAATTCTGCTATGGGAACTGCAAGGGTTTGGATTCCTTTTGGTTGTGGGTGGGGAGAGGTAAGGGCGAGTGGCAAACCTGATCTGTAGGGAGCCTATTTATCTGTCAAGGAGTTTTGAATTTAACTTAAGGTCAATGGACTTCCCTTGTGGCTCAGCTGGTAAAGAATCCGCCTGCAGTGTAGGAGACCTGGATTTGATCCTTGAGTTGGGAAGATCCCCTGGAGAAGGGAAAGGCTACCCACTCCAGTATTCTGGCCTGCAGAATGCCATGGACTGCATAGTCCATAGGGTCGCAGACTCAGACACAACTGAGCAACTTTCATCTTCAAGGTCAATGAGGAAAAGTGTTTAAACCCTTGGGGATGGGCATGGGTGAGGTGACTTGATCAGATTCACTTTTGAAAAGATCACTCTATAGGAAGAAATTTGGGATGCCTCAGGGGTAAGGCCACAGGCTGGCAAAAGATGGGAGTGGCCCGAACTGATGAGGTTCAGTTTAATTTTTTTGGCAAAGAGAATGGAGAGTGGTAGATGAATTCAAGAAATTTTGGTAAAAGTCACATGATTTTGTGGTTGTAAACTGTAAAAGTTGGTACCTTCATTAGCCTGCCTGACTATGCTGCCAGCCCATAGCTGAGCCTGTAACCCAGTCTTCCACTTCTCTCGATACAGGCATACCTCTGAGATATTGTGGGTTCAGTTTCAGAGCACTGTGATAAAGCAAGTCACGTGGATTTTTTTGGTTTCCCAGTGTGTTTAAAAGTTGCATCTTCCCTGGTGGTACAGTGGACAAGAATCTGCCTGCCAATGCAGGGGACACAGGTTCAGTCCCTGGTCTGGGAAGATTCCACAGGCCACAGAGCAGCTGAGCCCAGGAGCCACAACTACTGAAGCCTGCGCACTCTGTGGCCTGTGAGCCACAATTAATGAGCCCCTGTGTTCCAACTACTGAAGCCCACAAGCCTAGAGTTTGTGCTCCACAAGCCACTGCAGTAAGCCTGTGTACTGCAACTAGAGAAAGGCTGTGTGCAGCAGTGAAGACCTAGCACGGCCAAAAATAAATAAAGCAGTGTGTACATGTCAAAAAAAAAAAGAAGAAGAAATAAAAAATGTTACATCATTTCCCTGGCAACACAGTGGATAGGACTCCTAGCTTCCACTGCTGGGGGCCTGGGTTCCATCCCTGGTCAGAGAACTATTATCACACAAGCTGAGTGGCTTAGCCAAAAAAGAAAAACAAAAAGTTACTTCTACATGATGTTGTAGTCTATTAAATGCAATAAATAACATTGCAAAGATTCCGTAGATAGAGGTCAGCAAAGAGTCGGACATGGCTTAGCGACTAACACTTTCACTTTAAAGAAAGCTATGAAGAACCTAGAATTATACTAAAAAGCAGAGACATGACTTTGTCAACAAAGGTCCATTTTGCTTTTTCTAGTAGCCATGTACCAGTGTGAGAGTGAACCATAAGGAAGGCTGAATGGTGAAAAATGGATGTTTTTGAACTGTGGTGCTGAAGAAGACTCTTGAGAGTCCCTTGGACTGCAAGGAGATCCAACCAGTCAATTCTAAAGGAAATCAATCCCGAATATTCATTGGAAAGACTGATGCTGAAGCTGAAGCTCCAATACTTTGGCCACCTGATGCAAAGAGCTGACTCACTAGAAAAGACCCTGATGCTGGGAAAGATTGAGGACAGGAGGATAAGCGGATGATAGAAGATGAGATGGTTGGATGGCATTGTCAACTCAATGAGCATAAGTTTGAGCAAGCTCCGGGAGATGGTGAAGGACAGGGAAGCCTGGCGTGCTGCAGTCCATGGGGTTGCAAAGAGATGGACATGGCTAAGCGACTGAATAACACCACCACCTCAGCTCACTATGGCTAGGCTGTGCTTCTCCACCCTGCCTTTGGACCATCCATCTCTCCTTTTTTTGGAGGGGGGCTGTGCCAGGTCTTATTTGTGGCATGAGGAACTTTCATTGCAGCTTTTGGGGGTCTAGTTCCTTGACCAGGGATCAAACCCAGGCCTCCTGCATTGGGAGCGTGGAGTCTTAGCCACTGGACTGCCAGGGAAGTTCCGAGGACTGTCCATCTCTTGATTGGCTGACAAGCTTCCTTCCAGCTGTCACAGTGTCCTCTGGGGCCCGGTTCACAGTCTCCCTTTCTCAGTCCACTGCTGCTGCGTTCATCAGGGTGAACCTAGTGAAAGCAATGTCGAGCACGACTTTTCCTGCTCTGACACTAGGTGGATTGGTAAGGCCAGCAACCTCAGATTAGATTCTGGAAAATTCTGAAAAATGCCAGAAAAGCTGTAGCAGATGAGATAATATGAGTTTGGTAAGGGTGAAGAAGGTGGGAATGAAACTGAGTGGAGGCCTGGGGGATGCCCAGGCCCAGAGGCCTTTCTGTCCCCCATTTTTTATGGGCAAGACTCCAACCTCCATGACCTCCCCTGAGTTCCAAAGGGTGGATCCCAACTATTCAAGAAGCAGCAGCTAGGAGACCACATGAGGCAAGATTAAAGAGATCAGAGAAGTTCATCAAGATTAAGAGAGAAATTAAGGGACTGCAAGCCCAGCTCACACCATAATCTTGTCAGAGACCCCATCTTTGAGCCACTGCTATAAAATGCTTCATCAATCCTCTGGAATTGAGACACCTAGTTTTTCTAGGCAGGAGCCCGGTGTGTTCCTGTTTGCCTGGCAAAGAAATAAAGCTATCCTTTTGTGTTGTTGTTGTCCTGCTCTTTTGCGACCTCGTCGACTAAAGCCTGCCAGGCTCTGCTGTCTATGGGATTTCCCAGGCAAAAGCACTGGAGTGGGTTGCCATTTCCTTCTCTAGGGGATCTTCCTGACCCAGGGATGGAACCCTTATCTCCCGCATTGGCAGGCAGATCTTTTACCATACCACGGAGCCACTCTGATTTTATCTGGCTCTGGTGTACAGAGAGGCCACACTTGGGTAACAGGAATGGAACAGCAAACGCCTCTGGACTCGTCAAACAGGAGTGAAACATGGCTCCCCTGGGACCTTCTTCCCAGGGGAACTGAATTCTCTTTGATGGCGACCACTGGGGCTTCAATTGCCGTGTAGATCTCCAGGGAGCAGCAGGCAACAACAAACCCTCAGCCTCTCCAAGTTAGAGCCGTTCTCCTCGCTGACCTGACAGACACAGATGTCAAGTGGGCTCTGCGGGAGTTTGACAGTTTGTCCAAACAACTGTTTTCAGTTGAGGCTATCGGTCTCTTAGGAGAAGATTCATCTGCCTGGCTGTTCAATCGGCTGGCCAATATAAATTAGTCCGACCATCTTCTCAGAAAAGAATGCCTTTGGGGATTTTCAGTCGAGTGACTATTCAATAATCTGTCTTGTAGAATTACCGTCCACCTCCCCTGCCCCGTAGAATAATATTCAGACAGTTGGTTCCAGGGCTCTGGGAGAGCCAGGGGAAGAAAGTCTTAATCCCTTAGCAGGATTTGCTTGGCTCTCCCCAGCGTGAGCCTTCCATACAATGCTATTTGATCTTCTCTGAGAAACTGGCCTCCTCTGCCAGGAAAGGGGAATTCTTTACATGACAATAAGGAAAATGTAATCCCTTACACCAAGGGTGGAGTCCTTTTTCTTTTGCCTCTTAGGAGGGGGTGCTTCTGCCAGCTCCTCCCTGCCTCCAATCAGTCTTTCCCCAACCCCCCAAAGCTAGAACTAGGGGGGAGGGGGGTCATTTGAGGGATAGAGGGACGGTGTGTGTGTGTGTGTGTGTGTGTGTGTGTGTGTGTGTGCGTGCACACGCGCATACTCTGTTGTGTCTAACTCTTTGCAACCCCATGGACTGTAGCCTGCCAGGCTCCTTTGTCCATAGTATTTTCCAGGCAAGAATACTGGAGCAGGTTACCATTTCATTCTCCAGAGGATCTTCCCCACCCGGGGGCTGAACCCACTTCTCTTGCATCTCCTGCATTGGTAGGCAAGTTCTTTACCAGCTGAGCCACCCAGGAAGCTCTAGAGGGGGCACTGACATCCAGTAACAGGGATAGAATTCCACCACTTCCCAGTCAGGTGTCCCAGTGCAAATTACTTGGTTTTGCTGAGCTTTTCTCCTTCATTTGTGGGTGGGAGGGAAAAAAAAAAGATAACAAACCATCATACTGGGTTGGCAGGAAGAAAAGAAAGTTAAAAGACATAGTGAAAAGCGTAGAGTTCGATATTCATTCCTGCTTTTTCTATCTGTTACAGGAAGGGGAATCCCTTCCAGGGCCTGAGAGTAGGCTTTTGCCTGACACTCAGAAATGAGTTGTCTGAGGAGGCACACTTGCTGACAAAGCTTTGTTGGGAAAGAGGGCCCAGGGAGAGAGCAGCGGGACAAGGGCTATCAGGAGAACTGCTCTGCCACGTGGCTCGAAGTCTTAGGTTTCATGGCGATGGGATTAATTTCTGGGTTGTCTCTGGCCAACCATTCTGACTCAGGGTCCTTCCTCGTGGTGCATGCATCACTCAGTCACTATGGATTTCATCGAGAAGGATTCTGGGAGGTTGGTAGGCTGTATGGCCTGGAGTCTCCTCTCTCCTTTTTATCTTTCCCAGCTTCTTGCAGTTGGTGGTACTAATAGCTTGTTAGTTTTGCATTCCTTTACTTCTTATTAGTTCCTCCTGTTGTAAGATAGGAACCAAATCCAGGTCTTAGCTCAGCTGGTAAAGAATCTGCCTCCAATGCAGCAGACCCCGGCTCGATTCCTGGGTCAGGAAGATCCTCTGGAGAAGGGATGAGCTACCCACTACATTATACTTAGGTTTCCCTGGTGGCTCAGCTGGTAAAGAATCCACTTAACTCATGCAAGTGGTTCTATCTTGCCTGGCCAGGGTGAGTGGTTTCAGTCAGTGGTTCCCCTTAGAATTTATTCCTGGAATCACCTAATCTGCTTCTTTTCCCTCCAAGCAAGGATTTCCTCTATGACACCCTGCA